AGGCTAGGAGGCTGGGCAGAGGGCTGGCCTAGGCCGAAGAAGTGGGGGATGGGCTTGGTGCTTACAGGCAGATGGGGACTGTTTTTGATGACGTCTAAAATGCCTCTCTTTGTCTCCCTGTGCCTTGAGCCCCCCAATTTGTCCTATATGCATGCTGGTAATGCCTAATGTGGCGATGAGGACCCCCCCTGGGATGGATGATGTTGGTTCCTGTGGCCCCGCTAGCTCTCTGAGAGTGTCTGCCCTTTGAATGGGTCTGCTCAAGCCCTGCTAAGTTCTGCAGTGAGCGGGACCGTCCCCGGGTAGGTGCCCGGAGCAGGCGGGTGGAAGTTTAAAATGCTTGTAACTCCTCAATAGTTTGATCCTTCAAAAAAACAAGTTCATACAGTTGCAGCCCAATGTTTTATGTTTGCCCAAAAGCTATCTGTCTACCAGGCAGGGGCCCCAATTTGTGAAACCGCCCCCTACTTTCTCCCGAGCCCGCGTACCTGTGCTGCCTGATCAGGGAAGCGCCGCCCGAGTCGCCAAGAGCAAATAGGTTTTGACTGAGATTGAATTTTAGCATGAGACAGAAAATAAAATACTTCAGTACTTGATGGTCTATTTAATCTAAATGTAAAGGGTTTGAGTGTTTGGATTTTTTCTTAAGCAATTCTTTTTCAAGATTATACTCCAAATCATTGTGCAGTGCTGTAGGAAAGTACTGGATTACTAACCACAAAGTTGGTAGTTCAAACCCACTAGTCACTTCTTGGAAACCGTATACAGAGACGCTATAAATTGGGACTGGATCTAAGGCAATTGAGAACAAAAACAACAAAGACGGTCATATTTGTCAAATTGCAATCAACAGGACAAAAGCATTAGTACCATTGTTATTGTTGTTGTGTGCTAAGTCGGTTCCAACTCTTAGCTATAGTGTATAGAGTCTTTAGGGAGTGGTTGGTGAACCGCCTGCCTTGAAATTTAGCAGTACAGTGCGTATTCTCCAGTACCACACTGGAACCCAACCAAAAAGCTCACTGCCATCCAGTCAGCTCTGACTCATAACAATCCTGTATAGGCTTTCTGAGTTTCTGAGTCTAAATCTTTACAGTAGCAGAAAATCTCTACTTTCTCTCTCTGAGTTAGAACTGCAATCCTTATAGTTAGCAATCCAGTGCTTATCCTACAGTGTCACCAGAACGTCTTTAGTTCCATTATTTCCCTCCCAAAATTAGCTACAGAATGTAAAATTACCTGTAATCTAGTTCTGATTGTGAAATCAAGAAAAACTGATGGTGGTATGCTGTGGAGTCAGTTCAGACTCATAGCCACCCTGCATAGGGTTTCTGAGGCTATAAATCTTCACAAAAGCAGAAAGCCTCATGTTTCTCCTGCATAACGGCTGGTGGTTTTGAATTGTTGACCTTAAGGTCAGCAGCCCGACTCATAACCACTATTCTAAACCTACAGATTGTCCACTTTGGGCATTGTGCTTTCTCCTTTATCCAAAAGTTGGAAGGTAACAGAATGGATTCATTTGCATTTCTACTTCTCTCTTTGTCTTTGAAGTGGACAAATAAGATGGGAAATAAAGAATACAGGTAGTCAATACAGATGACTGTTGTTACTGCTTCATTTGTCACTAGTCCGCACTGACTCTTAGTGACCGTGTGCAGGGTTTCCGAGGCTGTAAACCTTTCCAGGAACAGAAAGCCTTAAATTTCTCCCATGAGGCAAGTGGTGAATTTGAACTGCTGACCTTGCAGTTACCAGCCCAATGCATAACTCACTATGTTAACGGGGCTCCTTAAGAATAGTGGCAGTAACACCAATATTTAAAATACTTTTAGGCACGTAAACAACAGTGTGACCTCCTATAAAATACACCAAAAATATAGACAATAAATGAAAGCAAGCCCGTTGCCACTGAGTTGACATTGGTTCATGGTGACCCCATATGTTACACATTAGAACAAAAGTCCCTCGGTCTTTTTGGCTGTGATCTTTACCCAAGACTTTCTTTCATGGAACCACTGATTGAGTTGTAACTGCCAACCTTTCATTTAGTAACTGAGTACAAACTGTTTACACCAATATAAGAGGAACCTGTGTCTTTATGGTAATACCATGAGACCACATAAGCTCAAGCCATTGCTTCCTAAGGAATATTTTAATGACATAATATTTTTATTATAGATCGCACCCTGTTATTGTTTTCTGAGGTTGGACATTCAAAGATACCAATCTTGGCTTTCCTTTAGTGAGACACTTGTATCTATGCTCCATCTAAAACCTTCTTAGGAAGATTTCTAATTTGAACTTTCACAATTCCTTAAGGTAAACTAAGATAATCTTTTTTTTTCTATGTTGCTGTTAAGTGCCTTCGAGTCAGTTCCTACTCATAGCAACCCTGTATAATGTTACCAAGGAGCAGTTGGTAAGTTTGAACTGCCAACCTTGCAGTTAGCAATCCAGTGCTTATCTTACAGTGCCACACCAGGAATCCTGTTATTGTTGTCGTTAAGTGCCCTCGAGTCAGTTCTGACTCATAGCAACCCTGTATAGGGTTTCCGAGTAGTGGCTGGTGAGTTTGAACCACTGACCTTGCAGTTCAAACTATTCTTGCAGTCCTGCTTATTAACCCACAGCACCATACCAGGACTCCTCCAGGACTTCGATAGTGATTCATAAATCCATTTTAAAGGAAAGTCTAAAGTGCATTCAACTAAAAACTATGTAACTTAGTTTTAAGAAAAAAATATACAACACTGTTCATTTAAGGATGTTCAGTCTTTAACATCTGAAACACATTTTATTAGGGTTTTATTTTATAGTAATCTATGAGAAAAGATGGAAGATGAACAAAAGGGAAAGAAAGGAGAATAACACAGGAATAGGGGAATTTAAAGAATAAAAAGAAGAAAATGGAGGAAGAATGAAGAACAAGTGGAGTAAAGGTCAGTTTTTCCAAATGTGAGTTAGAAACAAACTTCTCTTTTCACAGTCTGATGTTTACGGAGCTGCATAGCCTGGAAATACTTTGTCTTTGTCCTCCAAAATGTTTATTGTTAGATACTGAATCTCTAAGTGAAACTCACTGTTGAGATTTTTTTTTTTTTTCTTAGATCTACATCCAGTAACTAAGACCAATTTCCTAGAATTGTTGGAAAAAGTCAGATGAAACCAGACCACACCTAGCCTAGCCACAAAGAGTTTTGAATTTCAAACCTACAAATATTTGCCAAACAAAGAAGTGCTTTCTTCCATCACCCACAAACTTAATCGTCATGCTTTGCCTAATGGGCTATGGTGAAGAAATCTTTACTTAGGCTTACTACGTCTTTGTTGGTTTTCTCACATACCCATTCTTGCTCTAAGTCTTTCCAACTGAAAATCAAATGTGTCAGAGTAAAGTTCTCCATCACAACATCTTCAATGACTAATTTTTTGGAAGTAGGTCACCAGGACTTTCTTCTGTGGTGTCTTTGGGTGATCTCTGTTAGAAGCTCGACGCATTAACCAACTGCACCACCCAGGAGCTCCATCTCAAACTGATGTCCTAGTTATTTCAGCCTCCGAAGAAGTGCAGCCAGAGTGCTCCTTGGACACCAAGATGGCCAAACTTCGTCTCTCAAACTTTGGACATATTGTCAGTCGCTGGAGACGAATATCATGTTTGGTAAGGTGGAGAGTCAGAGAAAAAGAGGAAGATCCCCAGAGAGATGGATTGGCCAAGTGGCAGCATTGATGGACTCAAGCATGGCAACAACAATGAGGTTGGCCCAGGATCGGGCAGTGTTTTGTTCTGCTGTGCATAAGGTTGCTATGAGTCAGTACCGACTCTATGGCACCTAACAACAACAACATTAATACTAGCAGCTTCCATTTATTTAGCAATGCCTGTGTGAAGTAGCTGTAATTATTGCCATTATGCAAGAGATTTCTAAACTGAGACCTAGACACAATAAATAACTTGGCCAGTGCCACAGAGAAAGCAGTAAAACTAGACTCACAGCTCAGACTGCCTGACTCTGAAACCGAGGTTCTTTCTACTTAACTTCGTCACCTTCATATTCAACTTTTCCTGTCTTCTGTGTCTGTCATTTCACTCCTCTTTCCTCTGTCTAGAATGTCTTCCCAGGATCAAGATTATCAGAGACATTTTTAAGTTTTTCTTTCAGAAGCCTTCATTGGCTGAATGAAGTTAAGTCAGAATCTTTCATTCCCACATGATGCTGCTGGTCAGGAATTCATCCATCCCAGTATGAAAGCTATCTGGGCTTGGTTCTGACATGAATCCCAAACTAAACCAAACCAGTGACTATCCAGTTGGTTCTGACTCATCAATACATGTATGAAGAATAGAACTGTGCTCCATGAGGTCTAATATCAATACTTACCACATAAATAGTATTTATTTTTATAAGAAACACTGTTGTACTGAAAGGTATTTTATCTCTCTGTGTGTAAGTCTTCGTTCTTGTTTTTTACTATAATAAAACATAAGTAGTATGAATTCTGTATAACTTATGTAATGTGCAAAACAATGTAAGGCAGCACAAGCGAGGTGGTTACGGAAGAAAACCTATAGTTAAATAAGAGAGAAGAGATGATTCCTTCTCAAAAGTTACTCCACACAAATGTGCCTAAGAATAATGGAGAGGAGGATGGATTTTCCTTTTTTTTTCAAATTCCTTGTTCTTGTTGTCGTTAAGTGCCACTGAGTCGATTCCAACTCATAGCAACCCTATATAGGGTTTCCAAGGAGCAGCTGGTGAGTTTAACCTTGGAATTTAAATGTATACGACATTAGTCTTGTAAGTGAAATGAACTTATAGAGAATGAATGCATTTGTATTAGACAGGGAGTCTTAGTAAGTAAAAGTAGCCTCCTTTTCAAATGTTCTTGGAACTTTGAGCATTCCATATCATTTACAGAATCACCAGTCTGTCTCTTTCCTCAGTGTCTAAGCAACTCTGAAGACTGGCTAACCTGGGCTTCATTCTCTTTTACAGATCTTGGCCATCGTGTCCATCTTGTTCATCATCCTCTCCACCATTGCTTTGTCTCTCAACACACTACCAGAGCTGCAGGAAATGGACGAGTATGAACAACCCAATGACAACCCTCAATTAGCACATGTCGAGGCTGTGTGTATTGCTTGGTTCACCATGGAGTACCTTTTACGGTTCTTATCTTCGCCAAATAAATGGAAGTTCTTTAAAGGCCCGTTAAACGTCATAGATTTGCTGGCTATCTTGCCATATTATGTCACCATCTTCCTCACCGAGTCCAACAAGAGCGTGTTGCAGTTCCAAAATGTCAGACGTGTGGTTCAGATCTTCCGGATCATGCGCATCCTCAGGATCCTCAAACTTGCCAGACATTCGACAGGCTTGCAGTCTCTGGGCTTCACCCTTAGGCGGAGTTACAACGAATTGGGCTTGTTGATACTGTTTTTGGCTATGGGGATAATGATCTTTTCCAGCCTCGTATTTTTTGCTGAGAAGGATGAAGATGCTACCAAGTTCACCAGTATTCCTGCATCCTTTTGGTGGGCCACCATCACCATGACCACTGTGGGCTACGGTGACATTTATCCTAAAACGTTATTAGGGAAAATTGTAGGTGGCCTCTGCTGTATTGCTGGGGTTCTGGTTATTGCCCTCCCCATCCCAATCATTGTGAACAACTTTTCTGAGTTTTATAAGGAACAGAAACGCCAGGAGAAGGCCATTAAAAGGAGAGAGGCTCTTGAGCGGGCTAAAAGGAATGGAAGCATCGTTTCTATGAATTTAAAAGATGCCTTTGCTAGAAGTATGGAGCTGATAGATGTCACTGTGGAGAAAGCAGGAGAGTCAGCCAATACAAAGGACTCTGCTGATGATAATCACCTATCCCCAAGCAGGTGGAAGTGGGCCAGGAAAGCTCTGTCGGAAACAAGCTCTAACAAGTCTTACGAGAATAAATACCAAGAAGTTAGCCAAAAAGACTGCCACGAGCAGCTGAACAATACTTCTTCGTCCAGCCCACAGCACCTGAGTGCGCAGAAGCTAGAGATGCTGTATAATGAAATCACCAAGACTCAGCCTCCTTCTCACCTGAAGTCAGACTGCCAAGAGCAACCCGAGAGGCCATCTGCGTATGAAGAAGAAATCGAAATGGAAGAAGTGGTCTGCCCACAGGAGCAGCTGGCTGTGGCACAGACAGAGGTCATCCTGGACATGAAGAGCACGTCCAGCATCGATAGCTTCACCAGCTGTGCCACCGACTTCACCGAGACCGAGCGGTCGCCCCTGCCACCACCCTCTGCTTCGCACCTGCAGATGAAGTTCCCAACCGACCTCCCAGGGACAGAAGAGCACCAAAAAGCCAGGGGCCCCCCATTTCTGACACTAACCAAAGAGAAAGGGCCATCTGTCAGGGAGGCCCCCTTGGAATATGCTCCTATCGATGTAACTGTGAACCTTGATGCCAGTAGCTCCCAGTGTGGACCCCACAGTCCTTTGCAGTCTGACAATGCCACCGACAGCCCTAAGAGCTCACTAAAAGGCAGAAACCCACTCAAGTCCAGGTCCCTCAAAGTGAACTTTAAAGAAAACAGAGGCAGTGCCCCCCAGACCCCGCCCAGCACAGCCAGGCCACTGCCAGTGACCATGGCTGATTTTTCTCTCACCACCCCCCAGCACATCAGCACCATCCTCTTAGAAGAAAACTCCCCTCAGGGGGACAGACCTCTGCTAGGCGCTGAGGTTTCAACACCTTGTCAAGGACCTGCCAAAGGCCTGTCACCTCGGTTTCCCAAACAAAAACTGTTTGCTTTCTCTTCGAAAGAGAGGAGGAGTTTTACAGAAATAGACATAGGCGAAGGCGATGAGTTGTTGGCACTCCAAGGGGCAAAGCAGGACCAGCAGGCAGACGCCAGCCCAAATTGCTTTGCTGAGCACCCTACTGATGGGAGAGACCCTTTAAGAGAAGACCCTTTAAGAGAAGTGGGCTCTTCTTCCCCTCAGAACACAGACCACAGCTGTAGGCAAGACAGTTACCATGCTGTGGGTGAAGTCAAAAAGGACAACAGTCAAGAAGGGTGCAAGATGGAAAACCACTTGTTCGCCCCAGAAATTCATTCTAACCCAGGAGATGCAGGTTATTGTTCTACGCGTGAAACCAGCATGTGACTAGTTACAAAAGCAATAAAAAACTTGTTTCTTAAAAAACACAGTTAATAATGCCTGTGAACTAACATATGGGAAGCTCCCCCCCCCAAAAAAAATGCATAAAATGTTATTTTTGCATGGCATGAACAGTTTAGCTTAAGTACTGTTTAAATAAAGTCAAGACTGCATTTTGTAACAAACAGAAAACGACTGAAGAACAGTGAACAAATAAAGAGAGCTCTATTAGGAACCAGTATTCTGCAATGTCTGACATTTTTGATCCTTTCATTTCCAATCATAGACAGATTTTCAACGTTTAACTTTTATGTTCCATCTAATTGTAGAACTTACACGTGAAAGGATGAAATGTCATTGCATGCATTCGTAATTATGAGGACTGAGGTGCTTTGAGCTTGCAAAATGCATAACTTTGTAAATAATGGGGCCAGGGATGCAAAACTGTCAAGAACACATGGAAACAAGTCTCTGAGACACAGGTATTTCCTTCACAGCTACTGCCTGGAGGAACTGTTTAGACTTCTGGTTGCAAAACTGCAACCTCTCCTTAATCCATCTCACATATCTTGCTTTCAGTTATAAAGCCCATAAGTACATCTGTTTAAAGAAATACAGTATTTTTATTTACTCGTGATGTAATTCATAAAGTGCATTTTCCTTTTATGCTTCTGCTTAAGTGTGGCATTTGTGATTTTATTTCTAAATTATGAAAATAGGCAAGATTTAATGACCAGATATCAAAATATTTGGAATTTATTAGTGAAATTTAGCCAGCAAATTAGATATTATGCCACAGCCTATTTAAGAAATATATATTTTTCAAAACTGGAAATAGTTAAAAGGTTATAGCATACAACTAAACTTTTTCAAAAAATGATTATATTGTAAAAAACAAATGGCACTCCACAATTGTAAGTCAGTTTGTTTGTTTTTTTTAATTACCTTTGGTTATTTAAAGATGACTATTTTCACATGTATCCAACATGACCTTTTCTATCTAAAGATCTAAAAATAGAATGCACATATGCCAAAATGGGAGGTCCACAATGTGATTTTTTGATCAACTAAAAGTCGTCATTTAAGTGAGATCCACCTCTACCATTGAGAGACGATAAACCTGAGAACTGGGTCACCCACTGTTCTTCAATTGGCAGGTTACATGAAGATACTGCTATTTGGAGAGACAGTTGTTCCTTTTGCAGGGCCCAGAGCACCAAATGCCAATGGCACCTTCAGGCAATTGCAACTTGAAACATTCCCGTGTATTTCCAATCAGTAGCACCCTCCCCACTCCCACCTCCCAGGGAGTGATTAGGACTGCCCTTGTTGAGAACAATTTCCATTGAAAACAGTAAAATCCAGAGGAGTTTTGTCACTGTGCTGAAGGCTTGCCCAGTTGGTGGAATATGAGCTAGGACAAAGGTCACTGCACTTCAAGGTCATTAACCACCTAGGCTCATGGGAAGTTAAGGCTCCGCCCCCAGATAAACAGCTACCTAGTTGTGTGATCTTAGATAAACCTCTAGAACCTCTCTCAGTCTTAGTTTTGCCACCAGACAAAATGATTTCCAATGTCCCTTAAGATTATAAGTTGATATGATTCCTTGGTCTCTCAGGAATGTCCAGGTTTTGCCTCAGCAATGCATTCTATACGTGTGTGTGTGTGTGTATGTGTGTTCAGGGAAAAACTGGGGAAAATGCTGGGCCAAATTTCAAGCACAAGTTATAGTTTAAAGAAAAAAGAAATTCTTAATTTTTTTCTATTTTTTTTAAAAGAAAAAATAATCCAAATATTTAGAATCTAATTTAAGACGTTAAGAAATAACATTTCTTTAGTAACATAATCTGGTCATTATATCTCAGATAAGAAAACAAACTTTCATTGTAGCTGAAATCCAAGTGATCCTAACTGTTAAAAATAAGTTTAAACATTTTTTTTTTCACTGTGTTTAGAGTTCTTAATGGTGTTTATGTTTGTTTCAAAACATAGCCTTTAAGAACTTAATGGTCCTTAATTGTTTATATTTACTTTATTTGTATTTACTTCAGTGTCAAAACCTAAATGTTGATCAGCTTTTGTAAATCTAGAGTGTTTGAATTTTCTATATAGATATATATACATATAGTTTTTCAAAGTCAAATAGGAATATCTGCTGTTAGACAAATAGCAAATAAGTTATGAAAATTATCTTCTTTATATAATATCATGAAGCACTTATTTTCTGATGTCTCTGTATTGATGAATCTCAATTTTTAAAATTTATCTGTGTGCATGAGTGGACTTGTCTTATTGGCCTGACAGTTCACTATTGTCCATCTTTCATGTCTCTATCATCCCTTTGCTAAGAACCTAGTTCTAGGATACTTACTATCAGAAACTATGCCCTCCCCTAGTTGTTTTTCCGTGAAAGCATTCTACCTAAAACATTTTCCCTTTCAAGCTATAGGAATTTTTTTTTTAACTTAAAAAAATAATGTTCAAGAGCATTCCATGGAAAGCTTATCTTCAGTTCTTAGACCATCTAGGCT